AAAAAAGAGTTATCTTAATAAAAAAAAAGTTTTCTATATACTAATGTCAAAATTTTTAGTTTTTCTATATATAACTTTTTTTTGTTTAGATAACCTGTTCTGATCTCTTAAGCAAATTTGTTCAACACATAATTCTATATATTTTATATCTCACTAATTTTGTTTTTTTTTAACTTTTTACTAAGTAAAAAATTTGGTTAAGTAGAATAAAAAGAAGGGTTCTGTGTCACTTTTTCTATACCTCCATATAACTTATTGTTAAAAACAGGTTTACATCTTATTCTGCTATATTTTATATCATTTTTATATACTATAGCTTGGTGTAAATTTTTATATAGCTAGAACCAACTATTTTTTATTTTTATAACTAATCCAATCATATCAATTTTTATAAAGTAGAAGCCCCTGAGCCTTTTTCTGAAATCTATTAATATACTGGGTTACATAATATCCATTAGCATGCTTTCTACAAAGGCCAGATTTAGAGCTAGTCAGTTTACTACAAACTTTACAAAGAAAATATTTTCTAGCCTTCCAATGTTTATGGCATCCTTCAGGCCGACAACAAATATATCTACAAATAACTTCTATTCTGAGTAAATAATCACAAGTATATTCATCTATCATAGTATATAAATATGAAAATTTCAATTTAAACAAAAATTCTAATATATTAATACAAACAACGGATTACCAGCACCCATATACAAAATATTACCTCCATTTCCTAGATGTAAAAAAGATGATTTTAAAAAGACTCAAGATTGAGATGCATACTTAAATTGTAAATTTCTATGTAAACCTAGTAATATCCAAAATTCTATTGTAGCTCCAATACCATTACCACAAAATTCAGCTACAGATCAAATTCTGATACAAAACCATGTTCCAGTAGATGATTTAATTTTATTAGATGATATATCTTTATCACTTATTCAAAATATGCCTTCAAATAATCTACCCCAAAATGATACAGAATGGTTTGATAATATAGAAGATAAATATAATATAAGTACTGATGAAAAATGTCTCGAATTAGCAGGAACCTTGCTCTATGACTATTCAAAAAGAAATATCATAAAGATAGAAGATAATTTTGGTGATAATCCAATAAAAAAAAACTATAGACTAACAAGCAAAGAGTTAATATTCGAAGAATGTAAATCTAATTCAGATCCTTTAAGACCCTATCAGAACTTAATAATGATGAGTTTATGGCAAGCAGTTATTTCATCTTCTGAAAATATAAAATATAGATTTAATTATTATGTTGAGAACCCCAATAAATATTTAGAAGCTCCATATATGCCCTAGCTTATAGCAAATACGAGAGAACAAATTACAAGAGTCCTTAAAGCCAAATTGTGTAAAAAAGATCAAATAAAAACCATATTAATTGCTCAATGTATATATTTTGGGCATGTTAGTAAAGAGAAAAGCAAACTTAAAAGTCCATTAACTATAATTGCTTATCACAGAAGCCTCATGCGTGTTATTTTTACAGAAGAAGATATCAGTAAACATATAAATTTATTTATATTAGAAATAGATAACGCTATAGACTCATTTATGCAAGAAGGATCAGGAATGAATTTGGTAAGGATTGAAATATTAACTATTAAAGCTTATACTTATCGAAGAACAACTGGTGGATCATATACCTCTACTCTCAAAAAGCTCGCCAATACAAAGTGTACTATTAATCCTGATAATTCAAAAATAATTGATCCAATTACTGATATACCATTTAATAATTGTCTTCAAGGTGTATTAGCTTGTTATTTTGCTAATAAAGATGGACATATTTATCATCTTGATCGAATATTTACTAAAAGGGATTATAAGCAATACTTGGATATTGTTAATTTAAATAGAATCCTAATGTCTACACCAATTTGCTCATGTATATTCAATAAGATTGAGGAGATAAATCCTGATATTTCTATTAATATTTGGGAATGAAAAGAGGAAACAGCTACTTCCAAACTAGTAATAGCTAGCAAAAACTATAATAGACAACATATTATACATCTCATAGCTCTTACAGATATTACAAAATCTGAAGATAAGTATGGGCAAAAGAACTATTTCCTTTGGATTAAAAACCCAGATAGATTGGTTTATAAAAATAATACTAACAAAGTTAAAAAGCATCTATATAACCAATGCTTTTATAGCTTCTAGTCAGAAAAGTCTCTAGTTTATCATCAAAAATATTGTTTTAGCTTAGGAGAAGCAACCCAAAGAGTTAAATTACCTATTAAGAGTAATAATAACTTTGAAAAGTTTAAGAACTATGGACGAATAATCAATGCTCTATGTATTATTATTGCAGACTTTGAAGCTGACAACAAGAAATGTGATGAGAAATATGGAGGGCAAATGTGTAAACTTGCTAAACAAAAGGCTAATAGCTTTAGCTACTTGCTTCACTGAATTGATACTGGAGAAATATGGGGCCCATTATTATATAGAGGAGAAAATGCTACTTAGGAGTTTGTCAAAAGAATCGATAAAGAATTGGTTGAAATTAATAGAGTCTTAGCTATAAAACATGATCGAATTGAGACTGACAAAGACAAAAAGAAATTCAATAAAGCAGATAGTTGTTGGATATATAAAAAAAATTCATTATAGATGAAGATAAAGTTAAATACTTAGAAAATAAGGCATCATGGCTTAATAATAAGCTAAAAAATATCACAATGAATTTAGAAGATTATAAGACCTTAACAAAACAAATTCTCAAGATAACTAAGGATATTAATCAAGCAAAGTCTATAGACATAAAGGTTTGGGATCACTATCATATTACAGGTAAATTCTGAGGAGCTGCTCACAATACATATAATCTCAAACTTCAGATTAAAGTATGAAAAACTCCAATTCTAGTTATCTTTCATAACTTCTGAGGTTATAATTCTCACTTGGTTTGCAAATTTGTTGGAAAATCAGTTAATACATATCAGATCAAGGTTGTAGTTGAGACATTTGAGAGATACAAAACTATAAAAGTAGATCAGCTTAAATATATAGATAGCATACAATTTATGAATAGTAGCTTGGCTAGTTTTACAAAAAATTTGGGTGATAATCATCCAATAACATTTGAGCACTTCGAAAAACTAGGTTACTCTCCAGAACAAATAACCTTAGTATTACATAAAGGGGTTAATACCCATGATTATATAGATTTACAAGATAGATTCTTAGAAACTAAGCTTCTACCAATTCATGAATTTACTACAAAACTTTATAGTAAAATTAGCCAAAAGGATTACAAGCATGCCCAAAGAGTATAGAAAGAATTTAACTACCAAAATTTAGATAAATATCATGATATCTATCTTAAAACTGATATGCTTAGTCTTGCTAATGTCTGGACACAGTTGTGAAAAATGTCTATAGAATCTGATAGACTTGATCCTAGCCATTATATTTTACTTCTAGCATATTCTTGAGATGCTATAGTTAAGATAACAGAAGTTAAAATCAAGCTCTTTATAGATATGACTATGCATAATTTTATAGAAAAGGCTAAGCGTGGGGGTATAGCTATGGCATGTAAATGATATTTCAAAGCTAACAATCCTAAGATGAATAAAACATTTAACCCATCTAAACCAACAATATGGATTCTATATATAGATACAACAAATCTTTATGGCTGGGCTATGAGTCACTATTTGCCTATTGGAAATTATAAATAGAAGATAAGTCATAAATATCTTGAGGATAATTTAAATAAGCAAAAGAAATATCTTGAAAAGATTCTTAGTATCAAAGCAGATGCTAAAAAAGAATATTTTCTAAATATTAAAATACACTTCCCTCTAAAAACTCATGACTATTTGAGTGATTTACTTCTAGCTATAGAGAATATGACTATAAATAAAGATATATTGTGTCTCTATATTACAGAGCTTGTAGATAATTTAGATAGTAGATATTTCTCAGCTACAGAAAAATTGGTATCTCATCTTGGTTTATGAAAAGATTATGTTATTCACTACCAAGAGCTTCAATACTATGTAAAATTAGATATGATAATAGATGAAGTTACAGAAATCCTATCTTTTGATCAGGATAATTGGCTTGCCCTCTATATAGCTTTTAATACAGAGAAATATAATAAAGCTAAAAAAGCTGGAAATACATTTCTAAGTGATTTTTTCAAACTCAAAAATAATGCTTCATATAGTAAAACTATAGAGAATATTTATAAGTATCAAGATGTCAAGCTCATAGCTATAAATAATAAGCAAGATGAAAAAAAATTTATTAACTAGATTCGTAAACCCTCATTTAAGTATGCTAGACAACTTGGTCTTTCGCTTATAGAAGCATATATAGGAAAAGCTAGTATAACTCTTAATAAGCCTATTATTATTAGAACATTAGTCTTGAGTTTTAACAAACTTCACATGTACCGCTTTTGGTATAGATATGTAAAAAAGAGATATGGTGATAAAGCTCAGCTTGGATATATAGATACAGACTCATTTATATTTCAAGTTGAGACTAAGGATATCTATAAAGACATAGAAGAGTGATCTGATCTCTTTAACCTTAATAGGGATACAACTATTGGCAAATTTAAGGATGAAACTCAGACAGTGTAATTGCAGAATCTATACATATTCAAGACAAATCTTATCACTATGTTTTGGCAAATAAGTCTACAACATCTAAATATAAAGAAGTTAGCAAAAAGGGTATGAGTAAAATGGCTACGGATATATATTTCCTATCTTTAGAAGGGACCTTGCTAGATGATCCAGTAGATAGATCATTATTATTAAAGCAAGAAGCTATGCAAATTGAGGCAGATCCCATAACTCTAGTATATTGAGACTATTTCTTTGGTAATGAAGTATTTCATGCTAAGAATATAGGTATTCAATCAAAAGACCATATATTATCTTTGATCAAATCAAAAAAGAAGACTTTTTGCCCTATAGATACTAAGTATTAAATATTATCTGATAAAATAACTAGTTTGTCATATAGTTATTGGCATATACAAGCATATAAAAATTTTATATCGAATAGAATATCTCCAAAGTTGGCTAAAAAAAGAGCTTTAAGCATTAAGCTCTCAAAAAATATCAAAATGAATATATATTCCACATATCTAGTTTATAATAACAAGTTAGATAAATAGATATATTATAAATTATATAGTTAAAATTAATATTTCTCGAATATAAATATAGTCGAACCTTCCAAAACTGATCCTGTCAAAACTGATAACCTGTAATAACTGATACAAAATTGAGCCACTATATTCGTTCCTTAAGTCAAAACTAATAATCTGTCAAACCTGATAACTGATACAATAAAAATTATATACTTATAAAATATCAGATTTGACTAGTAAATAAAC